GTCATCATCCATAAACTAGTACAGTCGGTCATAGTACACCGACAGGAGATGCGCCCTCTGAGCAGTGTGATGGTTTGCGTAGATTGAACACCTTTTTATATGAATCACGAGAAATCAAGTCAACCTTGAGCAATTTGGAGTTCGGATAGATTTTTGCACATAACAACACATGAGAAATTGATAGACATGAGTATATCAGTATATCAGTATCAAGTTAAGGTACACTGCTATCCACAAAAGAGACACTGGTACCGATTGATCATGCTCGAAAGGGATCTTAAACTGATTGATAGCGGAACCTGTTGCATCGATACTCAGACAATTTAAGTTGATTTTCTTTTCTTTCATTTTTTTTCTTATTATTCCACACCTAAGTATGATGAACAGCAGACGGGGAGAACCCCATAGTCACGAGGACCTGCTGCTCAGTGATGGAAACCGGCGACCTAAGTCCCGGGACTTGCAGTGGTGAACCGCATAAGGCCCCGNACCGAATGGGACGACAGCAAAGCTGCTTACCACCAAAGTCGGGTGGCGGTGGCGGGGCTCGAACCTCGGACCATTGGGTCCAAAGTACGCCGGTGTCAGCGACTAAACCACTGCGCCACCACCACCGATATAACTCGTAGAATGTTCAGATGGTTCGACTATTTCGATGTGTCCGGTTTATGAGGCATGCACGGATTCAGTCGTTCAACAGGTCCGAAAATCACATTTCAAAAAACAGGTCATTGTCAGAAAAAGTTGTGGTGAACAACTGGTTCCTGCACTGAATACAAAAGGATGCAAATGTTATTTTTTAATTGAGGAAGAATTACGAAGAACAAAATCAGAACATCTGCAAGTTAAGAGCCCATTACAAGTTGAAGGAATTGATTTCTCTCTCTCTAAGTCTGTCAATTTTCTCCATAGGTTTGACGTTTCCATGACTGAGGGTGTCGATTGAGAAATGAAAACATTACATATGCCAGTTTCTACAGTTATCCACAAAAAAATAGCAGATAATTTGGCAACTTTGGTCCGACACCCATTGCTGTAACAAAATCTCGACAAAGGGCGATCCCATCATCATGAGGACCAAGTATGTAGACCAGTGACCCAGGCCCTGATACTTGTACCAGACACTAAATAGCGGTAAATATGAACATCTGTCTATCGCCGAAGTTTTGTTACTGTTGCACGGGTCGAGCCTTGAATGTTTGGACACAGGGTGTCATAACATCACCGGTAAACCATCACCATCATAAATTTAGAATTCAAATGACAAAACCACAGGCGTGTATCGAAAATTGGTGGAATGAAACGAATCGCATATAACAAGGTTGCCGAACTGCGTAACATACTACAAATGTTGGTAACACATCAAAAGAAAAGCTGCAGAATAACTACTGATAATTCGAACTTACAAGACGGGTAACATGCATGACCTCGTTTACTGCTACTATGTGTAGTTCCTTGTCGGTTTCAATAAAATAATTAATCGATTGGTCTAGTTGGACAGGATCAGAGTGTGAACAATGAGTTGATTGGTGTAGTCAATATTTGATTTCATCGTCAAGTTTTACGTCAGTTTCGTTTGGAATCATGGTATGCCAGTCTCGTCTCGTTTTCCTTAATATTGTTGTTTCAATTTGGTATGCGTTAAATACCAAACCCTTTTGAATGAACTCCCAAGCTGATTGGAGAAAATTGGGCATATAGCAGAGTGCCGTAACCAGTAGCACTTGATGATCCGCTGAATGGCTTTGAAACGTTTGTCCATGTGAAACTCAAGATTCACACTGGTAATGCCTCCAGTTTTCCAGTAATTTTCTCTACTTCTTCATACAAATTTCTATCCCAAGACAACAACCGAAACTGACAAGCATAATTAAAGCTATGCGTCACATAAGTTGAAAGACATGTCGATGATAAATTTCAAGGTACTATGGATATTTGAATGCAGTTCAAAGTTCCTAAGGAAGAAACCATTTTCAGTACATCAATGAGCCAACCCAATCTGTAAACTTGTACCAGAATCATCCGTGTAACGATCACAGTATATTCGTTTTTCTTTCCGGACTATCGAAACAGTAGGTTCTATCATGTGGGGGTGGGGGGTGGGATTAGACCCATTCGGTTGAGATTCTGTCATATGTTCCAACCCCACTCCTTAAAATTGACGTTTCATCGGTTTGGTGTGAAACTGCGAACACATTGACTCTGTATACACAACCCCGAAAATTCACGGCAATATCAAATCGAACTCTGAAATGTTGCAGTTCTGTGTAAACCGATTGCGATTTGGATATCTGGAATTTTTGTTCTACTGCGGTGTTTACATGCGTCACTCAGTTGCTAGGGTTTGAAGAGTAACGGTTGCCATTACA